TCTAATTCCTTAAAAAATACTACCTCTGGACTCTGGGGGAAGTTTATCAATGCCATTTGCCTTAAAGAAAGATTCCCACCACCCACCCTGTGAAATAGGTGTTTTTATTTTGTTTTGTTTTTTAATGCTTGAACAAAAATGAAACTTCAATCCACACCATACACTCCAACTCCCCAAAGTAGGGGTGAATCCCACCTTCTTCCCCTCTGTCTCTATGTTAGAGGGGTGGGTGGAGACGGGGCTGTAAAAATGTCCTTGTTTATACACACCATCAACAAGCCACTCTCCTAACACAAACCATTAAAGCATCCAATAAACGTCTAACTAGGGTTTCCTAGGGCCACACTTCCTTTAATTGGCCAGCATAACCACAAAGCCCTTGGGACGGTGTCAGGAGCCCTTCTGGACACTCACACACAGGCTTCTGCAGTTAACTCTCTGCAGCCTGCTCCCGCTGTCAGGCGCCCTTAGATACACCCACAGCGGAGTAAAAGCCTGACTCGAATTTCTCAGCATCTCAGTGCACAGCCTCCAACTGGCTCTGATCCTTGAGTTTCCCATCAGCTGAGCACTATTCTGGGAAGACAACTGCACACGGCCATGGCAAAGATCAGGGACTTTCTTCTCCTGAAGGTCATTAGAGAAGCTTCACAGCACTCCTCATCCCACTGACACACACACACACACACTAGGCCTGGAATACACAGCCTTACTGGAATGGGAGTGGTAGGAGGACAAGCAGGAAGGAAGAAGGAAAATGATGGTCAGAGTGTTCTCTGTTTACAAAGAGCTTTTGCAAATCAACAAGTAAAGAATCAATGGAGCCAAGAGAAAATTGGATGCAAGATAAAACAGCTCAAAGAAAAACAAAATACTCCACTAGCTCATGAAGAGAGTCGTTAGTCAAAAAGAAATGCAAGTCAAAACAATCGGACAACAGTTTTCATGACTATATTGGCAAAAAATTATAACTTGATGGCACCCAGAGTTGATGAAGCTATAGGGAAAATGGGCATTATCATACTATTATCATTGGTGGAAGTATAAATAAGTGCAAACGTGTTGGAGGGCGCTGTGGCACTATTACAACATTAATGTGCTGTGTCAGAGGCTGCAGGATACTCACCAAAATTCACGTTCTCCGTTTCTACCTGCACCCCCCCACCACCTCGGCCCACTAGAATGTTCCAGCCACCCAGCAGCAGGTGTGGCCAAGGCCTAAGCTCTAGCCAGTGGCAGGACAGCGCAAGTGAGGCAGCCCACATCCTAGTCCCGCTCATAAGCACCTCCCTGTGCTTATGGACCCTCCATGCTCACTCCTCCTCCAGCTGGCTGGAATGGAGACCTTACAAGAACAACCTTGGAAGCCACAGGCTGAAAACGATAGAGCTTCCTTCCACTCAGGGTCCCAAAAGACTGCAGTAGCGGAGGATCAGCCGGCCAACATAGTTACTCACCCAGGACTCACGAGCAAGAAATAAAACTTTTGTTGGAGCCATTGTGCATATGTGGTCTATCTGCTACAGCAATTAGCCATCTCACACTTCACATGCACTTTGAGGATTTCACTGCTAGGAATTCACCTGAAGTCAGGACACTCATATTCGTATAAATAAGACAACAAGCTAAATCCACCAAAACTGGGAGTGAGCACATAATTTACGGCACATCCATACAATAGATGACTGTGCAGTGTTACAGAGAGTGATACAGATCTGTTTAAGTACTCAGATGAAGAGATCTCAAACTCTACTGTTAAATGGGGAAAATATCAAAACGGCATGCATAGTGATACATATGTACATACACACACATACTGGTATATACATTCAGTTTTTCTAGAAGAATAGTTGTGATGTGTCACCTTGACTGGGCCATGGGCTGCCCAGATATCTGATTGAACATTATTTCTCGTTGTGTCTGTGAAGGTGTTTCGGGAAGAGATTAGCATTTGAATTGGTGGACTAAGTAAAAAGCAGATGGCCCCCCTCAGTGTGGCTGGGCCTCACCCGATCCCTGGAGGACTTGAATACAACAAAAAGGCAGAAGAAGGTTGAATTTGTTCTTTGTCTGGCTGTTGAGCTGGGATGGGACATCCATCTTCTGCTGTCTGTGTCCTGGTTCTCAGGCCTTCAGACTCGGACTGGAATCTACACTATCGGCTCTCAGGCCTTTGAACTACCCCACTGGCTTTCCTGGGTCTCCAGCTTGCAGACTGCAGATCATGAGACTTAGCCTCTAGTGTGTGAGCCAATACCTTATAATAAATAAATAAATACATATCTCTCCTATGGGTTCTGTTTCTCTGGAAAACCCTAATACAAAGTCAACAAAAAGTTAAAAGGATATCTTTCACACTTGCCTATATTGTTTGGGATTTTCACCAGCAGCCTAAAACTACCTAATTGATCACATAGTGACAAATGGATAAAATTAATCAGCCTATTAATAAATATCCATTTAGCATCCACTATATTCCAGGCATCAGGGACAGCTTAAGCAACCTGTAGGTAAGACTTCACAGTAGGATTCAGGAGCCCTCACTCTCAGCAGGTACACTGTCAGCAGAAGGCCAGAAGGTCCCCTATGAAGGTCCTCGCTGTTAGGAAAAGGGTCGTTTTGTGAAGATGCTCCAGGCAGCATGCAGGCCCAGTCAGAGAACAGAGCCCCCTGCAGGCAGGAACCAGTTCTGATTCCTTTGATGGTTGCTAAGATGAAGGGTGAGAGGGACTTAAATTCCAAAGGTGAAAGCAGGAGGAATCCCCCAAAAGCCAAAGAGAGACCAAAAGCTGAAGGACATGTGCTGAGAATCCAAATAAAATCATCTGGAAATTCTAAGGTGAAAATTTCTCTTTGTGTGTGTGTGTGTGTGAGGTAGATCAGCGCTGTGCTAACATCTGCCAATCCTCCTCTTTTGTTTTGCTGAGGAAGACTGGCCCTTGGCTAACATCCGTGCCCACCTTCCTCCACTTTATATGGGACGCCGCCACAGCATGGCTTGCTAAGTGGTGCATCGGTGCATGCCTGGGATCCGAACCGGCGAATCCCAGGCCGCCACAGCGGAGTGTGTGCACCTGCTTGCGCCACCAGGCCAGCCCCGAAAATTTCATTTTTTTAGCAGGATTTGCCACAGCTTTGGTCACCATCCCTGTTGCTGTCAAGTCTTTGCCTATATGAAAGATACTGTCCGCACTTCTTGTGTATACAATTCCAACCTTAATTTAGATTTATCCCTAGAGTTTTATCTTTTCCAAATTCAAAGGGTTATGGTCTGACTTGAGGACTGCCCCACAGATAAAGATGGAAGGTTCCATCATGTTCTCTATTTCCTTCAAGTTCTAATCACTTTTCAACACAATCCCTCAAACCTAGTTCCCAGAAATCTAGAAATCTGCTGTTGATAACCCACCCCACTGAAATGCTTCACTTGATTGCTACCCTGACTCAACCTGCACCCAAGAAAAGAGATGTGTATTCAACAGATAAGATGAATGACTTCGAACACTCCATCCTCGACAACAAGCTCATCAAAAGATGCACAGCACAATAACCAGCTAGCTGTGGGCACTTCACAGCAGCCAAATAGTATTGATTTTATGCTGATTCATTCAAATTTCAATCATTATTTTTCTCGTCTGCTTGAACCTATCGCTTGAGGAAGGAAAATTGAGTCATGAGAGATTTGAAAAATGATGTTAAGCCTAAAATTATGTCTTAACCTTAAAATATGAGAATAACTGAATAGAAAGCATGACTTGCTATAGGACTGAGGGGAAGGATACCTAATCAACTTCTCCATACACAAGACCTCTGGGAGAAAGACTTTACAATTCCGACATACACACGGTTTAGGGTTCAAGCTTCACTCTTTCACTAAAAAGTTGAAGCATGCCTGGCACTGCCACGCCTCGAATTACCCAAGCAGAGACAGTAAATTAATTGTTTGGCAATGAGTCTGCTGACAAATATGAATTATTAAGGAAAATACAATTCAAATTATTAAGGAAAGTACAATTCATTGAGGAGTTTCCAAGTCTGTGTCACTTTAAATGTAGATGTAGGGCCGGCTCCGTGGCTTAGCGGTTAAGTGCGTGCGCTCCACTCCTGGCGGCCCAGGTTCGGATCCCGGGCGCGCACCGACGCACCGCTTCTCCGGCCATGCTGAGGCCACGTCCCACATACAGCAACTAGAAGGATGTGCAGCTATGACATACAACTATCTACTGGGGCTTTGGGGAAAAAAATAAAAAAGGAGGAGGATTGGCAATAGATGTTAGCTCAGAGACGGTCTTTCTCAGCAAAAAGAGGAGGATTAGCATGGATGTTAGCTCAGGGCTGATCTTCCTCACAAAAAAAAAAAAAAAGTAGATGTAACAGGGAAAGGGGGAAAGAAACATACACACACACAGAGATGCTTAACTATTTTAATCTTTCTTTAGAAATAGGCAAAGCATAAAAATGGGTCTCATTAGAAATGATCAGAATGATTCTCTAAAACTTTAGACACATTCCATTTTAGGTCCCATGCCAAAATTACCACTGCTTTTCTTTCCTTTCTTTTTTTTTTTAATCATTCATCATCTTTTCTCACATATCTTAAAAGGGTCTTGAATTATCTGAAAGCTCCCTTCGCTATAGCCCTATAAATGTTAATTTAAGTTTATCAATAAAGATGCTCTGCCTTCAAAGGCAGCTGCAGAAGTTATACACACAAAGTGCTGCTGGTTTTCCGGGATTCCTTGAAAACATCACTGCAAAAATGGAAGCGCATTCAGGGAAAGAAAAACCTGGAGAACAACTTAAAAAGATGTGCAGAACCACACTCTTTAAGCATCAAACCGTTCACCTGCTTTACTCTGCTGTATTCCACGCTTCTTCTGGTTATTTATACATCATCAAAAGCTCTTGTCAATTACCTGTGTCTCAAACGTGGACTCTGACGTTTGAAAGGGTTTTATTAATTGATCTCAGCGGCGCATAATGAGCTTGAAAGGGCTTACCTGCCTGTCCCCGGAGGTGCTGGCTCGAGGCGGACATCAGCTTACAGCACACCATTAACACGTAGGCCAGAAAGAGCCAGTGTGACAGCAACACTGACTTAGCACAGACTTTCATCCTGGAGAGAGAGCAGGATGGAGTCAGCAAGGGCTGAATGAGGCGAAGCTCTTTGGCAAATACAATCCTGGGAAGGTGGGAGAAAGCAGCCGGAGATGCTTGGTGCTGGACTTCTTTTCCCCCAAGGAAACTGAAGGCTGATCAAACCTTATCCGCACTGTGCATCAACCCAATTTTCAATAAACACCTTTTATAATTAAGACTTTTCCAAGTTGACAACATGCCTCGGTGAGAAGTCTGCTTATGAATCCCCAGGGTGTAGTTTGAGTTGCCCTGATAGAACATGAGGGTTATATACTATTGTATATTACGAAATTAACAAGCTACACACTTAGAGCTGGATTCTGAAAGAAACCACAGAAATATTCACACCCAGCCCAAGACCTTTCTCCTGGTCTCTCTGACTGTATATTAAGGTCCTCTGGCCTGGAAGACTGGCCTCACGGTTTATTAAAGCAAGCTCAAACTTTGGTGGGAATATAGGCAAGTACAGGTGGATACAAAATAAACAACGTCATATGGATGTCAGCAGAGGAATGGATAACAACAACAATGGAATATTACTCAGCCATGAGAAAGAAGGAAAGCTTGCTGTTTGTAACAATTTGGATGGAACTTGAGGGCATTAGGCTAAGTGAAATAGGTCAGACAGAGAAAGACAAATAAGTATATGATATCAGTTAAATGTGGAATCTAAGAAATACAAACTCAAGAGAAAGAGTAGAGTGGTGATTACCAGGGGTTGGGGGAAATGGGGAGATACTGGTCAAAGGGTATAAACTTCCAGTTATAAGATGAACAAGTTTGGGGATCTAATGTACAGCATGGTGATTATAGTTAATAATACTGTATCATACACTTGAATGTTGTTAAGATCTTAAATATTCTGACCACAAAAAAGAAATGTAATTATATGATGGGATGGAGGTTGAAGCTAATACTACGATGATAATCATTTTGCAAATTATAAATGTATCAAATCAATACATTGTACACCTTAAACTTATACAACATTACATGTCAATTATATCTCAATAAAGCCAGAAAATAAATCAATAAACTTAACTTCATATGGATGGACAGTATCAAAATAGTTGCTCAAAGACAGTTCAGTTCACAAATGTGGTTATGTGGTCTATTCTAAAACAAACAAAAAAGAATAAATAAAAGGAAAATATCAAAAACGCATTGCCCCCTAAGTTTTCTGACCTTTTTGATATTATAGGGAAATTAGATAGAACCTGATTAACTTTTTCATCTGCTTTTTTTTTTTAATTAATTTTTTCAAGCAAAAGTCAGAGCACTTGGCATTTGAAACTCCAGGGACATTAGGGTCTGCCTGGCACATGTCTCATGGTGTCTATGATAAAAGGACCCACCACAGTGAATGAAAGGAACCCCCTTTTTATATACACAAGATGTATAAACACTCTTGGGCAGATGATACAGACACGGCCCACAGGGTCAGATTCCTGCTCTGGAGAGACTAGAGGCAAAGCTTCTGAGGAAGTCGTGGAAGGCAGGGTCTAGCGGCCCATGGCTGCCAACCCAGCAGCGTCTCAAAAAAGAACCCTGAATCCATGCTTGAGGAGCAGCACAGCCTCAGGGACCTAGTGCCCACATCACACTCTGGGGAGCAGGCTCTGCCGCCAGCCCCCTCTCTCGGCTTCTCACCATTCAGTCAAATAGATCTTGTTGAAAAGGTATCATATTGCTCACTGATTTAAGACTCAGTCTGCCTTTGAAGAAGCCAGGCCAAGACAAGGTTCTAAGATCGTCTTGGAAGAACTCGGTGTTAAAACGGACACAAAGCATTGGCTACATTTTGCCCTTCGCCTTGGAAACTCCAAGCACTCTCAACTGACAGGGAAGCACCAGAAACACCGGGTCTCTCCTCCACCTCCCCCGCCTCAGCGCACACACAGGAGACAGAAACCCTAGGAGCAGTTCAAAAGGTGGCAAAGAAAATATGTGGGCCTACGTGAACTTGAGGGGCTATTATTTAATTATATTGTCATTTTAGGGAAGTGATTATTAATTTATCACTTATTAGGGAAAGCATGAAGTTTCAAAATTCCATATTTGCTGAATTTTTGAATGAGGTGCTCTGTCCCACCCGTAATGTTTCAAAATTCCAGTTGTTAACTCCAATTTCAGTTATTGATCTAATTGTTACAAAGGCTTATCTCTCTTACCCAAGGGTCAAAAATTCAAATGCCTACAAGAGAATGAGCAGGCTGGCTGGGCCTAAGGCACTGGTGAGCGGTAAGAATGTTGAAGACTTGTCTAGGGGCAGCTGCTACCACCCGAGCCTGCTACTGCGGTGCAGAAATGCGAGCCCAGGGGCACCAGGACTAACTTTTCAAGAGAAACTGGATTCTGATACGCAATCTGCACATTTTATATGTTGGCAACTAAATCCATTTGTTTTGTTTTACAAACACAATGCAGGGGCCAGCCCGGTGGCGTAGTGGTTAAGTTCACGCACTCTGCTTCAGTGGCCCGGTTCGCAGGTTCGGATCCCAGGCACGGACCTACATACCACTCATCAAGCCACACTGTGGTGGCGTCCCATATACAAAGCAGCGGAAGATGGGCACGGATGTTAGCTCAGGGACAATCTGCCTCAGCAAAAAGAGGAGAATTGGCAACGGATGTTAGTGTAGGGCCAATCTTCCTCACCAAACAACAACAACAAAAAACCCACAATGCAGACCAAACAAAACACATTTGCAGGCTGGGTCAGGCACCCTGGCTTCCAGTTTGTAGCAATTAGTGGCCCCAAAAGGGAAAATTTTAATGAATCAGATAAACTAATCAGAGTATTAGTTTTCTACTGCTGTACAACAAACGGCCAGACTTAACAGTTTTAAACAACATAAACATATTATCTCACAGTTTCCGTAAGTCAGAAGTCTGGCACATTCTAGATGGGTCCTCTGCTCAGGGACTCACAGAGCTGAAATCACAGTGTCATCTGGGTGTGTCCTCATGTGGAGGCTCCACCGGGGAAAGACTGCTTCTAAGCACCCTCAGGTGGTTGACAAAAGCCATTTCCTTAGGTCTGTACCATCGAGATCCCTATGTTCTTGCTATCAGCCAGGAACTGCTCTCAGCTCTGAGAGGCGGCATGCAGATCTTGGCCACGTGGCCCCTCCAGAGGCCCCTTCAGTCTGAATCTCTTCTTCCAGAAAAGGCCAATCCCTTGCTAGGGTTCACCTAATTAGGTCACTCATACCCAAGATAATCACTCTTTTGATTAACTCAACATCAATTTATTTGGGACCTTAATTACATCTACAAAATCCCTTCATCTTTGCCATATAACCATAACCTTATGTATCACAAACCTCCCCACACTCAAGGGGAGGAGCTAACACAGGCCGTGTATAGATAGGAGAGGGTGCAAATCTTAGGAGCCATCTTAGAATTCTGTCTACCAAAAATGGGCAAACAACCCATTCACAAAAGTTTATCCATGTATTTGGTTTACAAAGTTCCAACTTGGTATTCAATCCATATATTTGGCATAAGTGTTTATAGACACAGGTTAATGGCAAGATTTACATTGAAAATGGACTCTGAGGAAAACGTTATCCAAAGCCAAAGCACTCTCCCTTGCTGTCCTTTCCTTCAGCCAGCATCCTCTGGTGGACCCAGACAGATCTTCAGATCAGCAACCCCCTGCCCAGTCCATGTACCCACCATCTGCTCTCTGAGACATGAGCAACCTGAGAACCTTGAGTTTAAGCTGATCTCTCTCCTTGTTAAAACCATCTCATTCAACCAGGTTCTGAAATCCACCTTCTTGTTCTTAATCAATTTCCAGCTGCCCAGGCCTCCCATTGGCTTCTTAACTCTTCTATCCTCCACAGACCATCATTAAACACTTTTTCCTGCTTAGTGGGTTGGCTCCCCTGGCCTCTAACCACAATGTCCCATCCAATTTAGAGTCTCCAAATTCAGACTAGGTCTTTCAGGTGAGCTACAATCTCACCCACCTAACCTACAAGTGAAATCAAGTTTCCATCTGTTCATCAGTCCCTGCATCACCTAAAGTTCTCTGGATGGATTTTACCAAATTTGGACAGTAAATCTGAGATCATCTGAGTCCCAGAGCTTGGGTTCCCTAGGAAGCCAACTCTGAGATGGAAATCAGTGAGCAGGAGGTTAATTAAGGGGTACTCTTAGGACATCACCTGTGGAAAGGGAGGGGAGGGAATGGGAGGGAAGAAGGCAGGACAGAGGAGGAAAAGGCCTCAGATAACTCTATGGAGAGTTCCAAAGCCAAGATGCCCCTTCTCAGTGGCCCCAGTGAGACACTGAGATTTGAGGACAATTCAAAGAAGCTGTAAGCCACCTTCTGCAGTACTCCCAACAGCTGAGGGAATAAATCCCTCATTCCTGAAGTGGGATCTGGGCAGTGCATCATAGTGTCCACTACCGCCCATCTTCAAAAAGAAGGTTCCATGGTATTCACATAATTTATGGGGCTGTGGGAGTCATCCTCAAGAGAAGACCCATTTTCTGTATAGAAAGCGCTTGCCATGTTCATTAAAATGTCATGGGAAGAGGTTTAAAATATGAACCCTATCCCAGCCTGGGCCTGTTTTGCCCTCAGATCCATTCTTTCCCCTTCCTCTAGGCTGGATTTCCCAGGCTCCTGAGTCAGCTGGCCTTTGGCTGGGTTTAACCAATAGAAGATGCTGGCTAGAGCCTGGAGGGTGGAAAGGAAAGGCCAGGGTATCTCTCCCCATCTTCTCTGTCTTCAGCAGGATCTATGAAGTGGCCATTTCTCCTCTATGGGGCCAGTTCCTACCAGAAGGGCCCACAATGGTTCCTGCTCCCACTGAAGGTCCCTTCCCCTAGGCGCTGGCAAACACTACTTCCTTCCCTTGTCCCACCAGCCCTAGGATGGTAGCAGCTTCCTGCTAGTACAAATCTCTGGGTTGCCTCCATATCTTCTGCTTGACTTCTCTGATTCTCCCATCACATGTGCAACCAGTTCTCTGAATTCAATTCCTTCTGTTCCACATTATCAGAACGGCTTTCCTGGTTGAATCCCAACACAAACCCCAAATCAAAAGTCTCAAGGGCAGCCCTTCCAAATCTGAGGCAATGATCTCTGACCCGTTGTCTGCTTACATGAACAATTCTATGTACCCCGTACCTGAGTGAATAGCAACAAGTTCCCAGGGCCTAGAACGAGTCTTTAGTTAACAATAGCTATGATTGCCTGAAGAAATGCCTGGGGACGAGTGGGCAGCTATTTGGCAATAGTTCTTTATTTTATTCAATAATCCAGACTCCCAGTAATGGGATTTCTGACCTACCACCATCTACTACGATACTTCAAGTTCAATTTCTTCTACATTGAACGTTTTTGTCCAAACATAAAACAAAATTGGTTTACCTTAAATATCTCACCTTTCACCCTACTGAATAGCCAAAACACTGCTTTACAAACTGAAATAATTTCAAAGATGAGAGCTAAAATTAAAAAAACGATGATTCCCAAAATTTCCAAAAATTTAATGTAAAAGAAGGCTTTTACAAAGGATCATCAACCCCAGGATAGTTGGTTTTGCTAAATTCTTAACGCTTCGTAAAGATATCATCTCTAGGCGTGTGTTAAAGCCATTTTACCTTGGAGACTTGATAAGATTTGGTTCCAGTCAAACACAATTATTACAGGACGTATTTCAGAGTGACTCCAAATTCCCATTTGTAGCTAGGACCAACCATTTCTGCTGCTGCAAAAAATTATCTTAGCTTGGAAGACCTATTTAAAAAACAAAAAAGACAGGAAGCCATTAGCATTTTAATGCTGAAATAATACAAATTTCCAGTAGCAAAATAATGTTTTTTACTACGACACCTGCAGTTTCAGGTGAGTGGTAGATAGTCAAACACATCCACATTTATAAAGTGTCCTAATATACAGGGAGAAAAAAGATACAGAATTCTGCACGTATTAACTAGCCAGATATTAGTTAACAGAATATAGTTTTAAAGTAGACGTTCCCTCAGCAGCAAACGCATTCAAAATTTGACAGAGTCTCAAACCATTCATGATGCAAAATTTCACTCTCCCGTTTCATTAACTAGGCAATGAAAACAGAATTGGAGATGATCCATTCCCAAGAGTTCCACAACTTGCCCAAGTTCACAGAGCAATGGAAAAGCCAGCATGAAGATCTGAGTTCCCAGCTTTGGTTGATATAAACCTGAAGACGATGCTAAACAATCTGTGAAGGATGCGTTTTGAAAAAGGTTAATGGGAGGCAGAGGGCAAAAGTCTTTCCAATATAAAAGACCATACCAAAATACAAAGACCACTTGTTAATGCCATAATTGACACTCACACTCCTTTAATGCACAGACCTAAAAGGACTTTTCTACTCAGAGAAAACATTTTTACAAGAAAGCCTCAGATGACTCCAAACCAAAGACATCCCAAGAAAAAAAAGGAACATGAAACTAGACCATTTTTAACATTGCTAAGTTAAATACATCCCTCCCAGTGGTGGAGGTCAGAGAGAAATAATGATATGCATCAATAAATATTAAAGTTGCAAATATGATATAAAAACAATCCTTGCAACACGGTCTATTTTAGAATCCTGTTGAGCCCACTATAAATCCACCACAAAGCACAATTAAGATTTTTCTCCTATTTAGATGCCCCTGAAGATAATTACACGTTTGCCTAGAGAATACTGTGGGTGATAGACTTGAAGACCCATCCTTTTGGGGCTAAAGGAGAGAGTGGGCTTTGAGTGATTAGCTCAACAAGAGGGAAGTGGCTTTGAATAACTGTATAAATATAAGGTACTCAAAAAAAAAAAAAAACACTGGAAATTATTCATCCTCAGATTCTCCAACTTTATTAACTATGTTTGTCCTGATGCCCATCCAAGGGCACAATGTGACCTTCTGTTATTGGAAAGAAATACACAGTATAATTTATCAGAACCCATCATAATGAACTACCGACATATTGGAAACCAAAATGACCTTTCCTAGTTAATATTTATCTTGTTTTCTTCACACAAAAGGAACCAGTGGGGATTCTTTTTCAATTCATTAAAAAATGGATCCATCACTGAAAAGAAATGTGATCTAATAGTTCGTATGCCAGACAAGGAGCCAGGAGTTTAATTTTAGGCTAAGCAGCAACTCACTCTGTCAGATTTTCCTAGAGTGTACCCAAGGTACTTGCTTAAAAGGATTAACTCTTTGTTATCAATTCTAAACTTTAGTACATTCAAGACCATCAATAATTTTGTGCACGGCACCAAAAGCAATTACTGTGTTTCATTTCTCTCTGTTGTTTCCCAACAACAGCACAGTCCTTTCTATCAGTCTCCTTCAAAAGCCATTTGTTTTTAGAGTCTCAGTGTTTTCAATGATGAAAAACATTGCCCATATCTAGACTAAAAAAAAAAAAAAATTTTTAATGTGTCCAGTCATTCTCAGAAAGAACTAAAAAGACTCAGCATTTGAATGCTGGGCTCCATTCTCCACCTTTCCCCTTACGTATTGGTATTACGTGGAGACAGTCACTCTTTTACAACAAAAGAGCAGAATGCCTCTTTATGTATCCGGGTTCCAAGAAACTTTGAGGTTCCCAGGCAGAGGAGAACATTCTTCAGATGTTTAATTTATTTCTCTTGTACGCAAGAAAGAATTCTGCCTACACTTGACTTCTTATCAAGGAAATAGCAAGGTTTTACCTTTCTTTTCTCTTGATGGAGTTGCCTTCACCACTGGTGGGGTGAATTCCCTAAGAGGATTATTCTTTTGGAATATAGTTATTTACTTGTTGTAGCTGAGCCCCCTCGGAATCTCTCTCCTGTCAGTTTTGTACACTCCCCTCACTGCACGCATGTCAATCTGTACAGCCTCAAGTTCTCCTCATATTTTCACTATAAAAATCTACAGTGATGAAATATCACAGTTCCCTTTAAAATCGAAAGATACAATGACCTTAAACCTGGATCTAACCATAAGAATAAATCAGACTAACTCAAATTTAGGGACATTCTGCAACAAGGTTGTTCTGAATTCTTAAAAGTGTCAAAGTCATGAAAGACCAAAAAAAACCTGAGGAATTGCTCCCAATAAAGGAGAGACGCATGGCAACTAAATGCCATTGTGATCCCACATTGGATCTTGGTCCAGGAAAAATACACACATACAGAGTCATTCTCAGAAGAAACTGCGTACACACACACATATCCACACACATACATACACACACACACACACACACACATATAGCTATAAAGGACATTACTGGGACAATTAACAATTTCTAAATATGGCCTGTAGACTAAATACAGTGTTGTATCAACATTAAATTTCCTGATATTGATCATAACACTGTAGTTAAGAAAGATAATGTCCTGTTATTAAAAAATACACCCTGAGGGGCTGGCCCAGTGGCATAGTGGTTAAGTTAGCCCACTCTGCTTTGGCAGCCCAGGGTTCACCAGTTCAGATCCCCGGCGCAGACCTATGCACTGCTTATCAAGCCATGCTGTGGCGGCGTCCCATATAAAGCAGAGGAAGATGGGCATGGATGTCAGCCCAGGGCCAGTCTTCCTCAGCAAAAAAGAAGAGAATTGGCAACAGATGTTAGCTCTGGGCTAATCTTCCTAAAAAAAAAATACACCCTGAAATATTTAAGAATAAATGGGCAAATGTCTCCAACTTATTTTCAAATGATTCTGAGAAAAAAAAAAATAGAAAGGAAGAGGAGAAAAGAAGAGCGAATGGATGACTGGATGAATGAATACAAAAAAAAATGGGCAAAATGTAAGCAATTGGTCGATATGGGGAAAGGGTATATGAGAGTTCTTTGTACTATCAACTTTTCACTAAGTCAGAAATTATACCAAAATAAGACATTAAATATTTACTTAAAAGGCTTCAGTTTATCAGATATACTAAAATGATTTAGAGTTTATTACCAATCGTAAACAATGAGGAGAGTTGATAGCTGGAATGTTCTGGTTAATTCCACTCTCTGAGCATTCACCCAAGCCCCCAGAGAAAGTTTTTGTTTTTTATTAAAAAGCACTTACATAGTGCCCACCAGGGGTCAGGCACTATGTCAAGCACTTTAAAATATTAACTCACTTAAAAATAGGATTTCCTGGGGCCAGCCCGGTGGCGTAGTGGTTGGGTTCGCACACTCCGCTTCTGCAGCCTGGGGTTTGTGGGTTCCGATTCCGGCCGTGGACCTGCACACTGCTTGTCAAGCCATGCTGTGGCAGCATCCCGCATACAAAATAGAGGAAGATGGGCACAAATGTTAGCTCAGGGCCAATCCTCCTCAAGCAAAAAGAGGAGGATTGGCAACAGATGTTAGCTCAGGGCTAATCTTCCTCACCAAAAAAAAATATATATAGGATTTATTTATATCCTGATATACAGATAAGGAAAGCAAGGCATAGAGAGGATAAGAATTGCCCAAGGTCATTCAGCCAGCAAGTGGCTAACCAGGATTAAAATTCAAGCCATCTGGCACCAAGCTACCTACTGTTTCAATGCCAGTAAAATTACTTCCAAAAAGTCTTAGTCCCTTTTCATGCTTTAGTAAACAGATTGAAAATAAACCTATTTTTCTTCAGGGATTCAAGACATTGATCATCAATCTGAATATGAAAATTCTGTCTGTGGACAAATGTGTATAGGCAATTAGACTGAATTTGCTAGCAGATCCTGGCTTGCTGCCTAAGAAGTTTTATATTAACCCCTAGAAAATTTTGCCTCATCTCTGCAAAGCTGGTAAAAAACAGTGATCCTGATTTGCTGTAGATTTATTAAAGGCTTATGTCATTTTCCAAATTAAGACCAAACATGCAAGAATCCTAAAGACCTCGAACGCTTAAGCTGCCATTGTCCAAAGAGATGGAAAACAACTGCACTCAGCTCAGAACCCCTCTAAAACATTCCAGAGAAGACACAGCAGAGCCAGAACATAACACAGGAAGGCTAAATTACTCCTGTTGATTTCTACAAAGGAACTCAGCATCAAAACAAAACCAAAAAAAATGGATTTTTGTCTGTGCATCCACTCAGACTCATTTCCTGACAAACTCCAATTCAGACGCAGTTTTGCAACAATACAAGTCAGACACCGGCTTAATAACAAGACAAACAGTCCTCATGCTGCTAACCAGCACTGCCCTTTCCTGCCTGACTGCTCGCAGGGGAGGTTTCAAAGCTCCATCTTGCATCACCTCTAGAGTGGGCAGGTTTGAATAATTAGCTATTTCCAGACTCACCATCAGTTCATCTGACCTCCTGGGGTGGGATCTGCTGTGACTCCGGTTCTCAGCCCCTCAAGGACAGGGCGCAAGTAGGAATAATTCTTTCAGCTAATGATGTAAGAGGTGGCACCCTTAAGAGTTTAGACATTGTGGTAAATCATTTTTCCACACTAATTTCCACTCAACCAAGACCGAAGATGATAGAAGTGAGCAATGTTTCAAAAATTAGCAACGTGGGTTTGGGGAGTAAAAAAGGGTTTTATGAGTGGAAAAGGGGTAAAAAGGTGGTCCCAAGGAGTGAAGTCTTGTCTGATAATCAATGGAAACGTCAAAATGGAAATCGCCGATATAAAATAATTCATCATTTCTTCAGACAGAAACGAGGAAAGATGTTCCCATTTCCAGTTGCTTAAATAACAACCACACTGAATTGCCTTCGGGAAATTTTCAAACAGCTTTTCCACAAAAGTATGCAAAACCAAATGTAACCTCTCTCGACAAA